ACAGATGCAAATATTTCAAATATACTATCTTGGCCATATTTACCTTCTCTTATAAAGAGTTCCGTTCCTTTTTTAGCTCACCTGGCCCAGAGGGTCAAGTGAGCTTTTCTAATCACTTGGCGTCCGTCGTCCGTCGTCGTCGTCGTCCGTCGTCGTCCGTCGTCGTCATCGTCTCTTAACATTTTACATTTTGAACTTCTTATAGAGAACCACTGAATGGAATGAAACCAAACATGGCATGAATGTTCCTTATGAGGTGCTGACCAAGTGTTGTTACTTTGAAGCCGATCCCTCATCCAAGATATCCGCAGGCAGGGAACTTAGTTTAACATAGGACCCTAGAGGAAATACATACAAATGTCTTCTTTTGGAGAACCACTGAATGGAATGAAACCAAACATGGCATGAATGTTCCTAATGAGGTGCTGACCAAGTGTTGTTACTTTGAAGCCGATCCATATTCCAAGATGGCCGCCAGCAGGGGACTTAGTTTTACATAGGACCCTACGGGAAATACATACAAATGTCTTCTTTTAGAGAACCACTGAATGGAATGAGATCAAACATGGCATGAATGTTCCTTTTGAGGTGCTAACCAAGTGTTGTTACCTTGAAGCCGATCCATCATCCAAGATGGCCGCTTTGGGGGGGACTTAGTTTAACATAGGACATCATCCATGGTGGCGGCAAGCAGGGAGACTTCCTTTAACATAAGACCCTATGGGAGATACATACAAATGCTTCTTCTAGAGGTGCACTGAATGGAATGAAACCAAACATGACATAAATGTTTCTTATGAGGTGCTAACGAAGTGTTGCTATTTTGTTGCCGATTTACTGTTCAAGATGGCCACCAGGATTTTTTATTAAATTACAGGGGGCCAATATTAAACCAAATTTGGCCTCACTCATTATTAGGTATCTATTATGATTTTGATATATTTTTACATGATTTTCATGAAGTGGAATCAGGTGAGCGACACAGGCTCTTGAGAGCCTCTAGTTTTATTTCAATTGGATATCAGCCTGTATACACCATGTCAAACATGTGATACTGTTTTCATGTAGCAATGGTAATGGTGTCTTTTTTTCTGCATTCTTGCAAAATGAAACCCCTGAATTGTGCTTGTAATTGAATTGAATAGAATCGCATGAGTTGTTTCCCTTGATGCTATAGCTACTTACTGCTTATACTGTTCCATACATTTTGTTGAATTATGCAAATATAAATACTAATGTTATTAAATAAAATATGTCAAATAAGTTTCACGAACTGCAACTTGCCCACATTTTTGGTTGCTTCATGTAGTTTTATGAATCTACAACCACTGTATCCGTCCTATTGAATTTTACATTTTACTTACAAGTGCAATATGAACGAAAACAATGGTAAAATGTATGCAATATTTACATACTTACTTTTTTTTGCGCTTTAAAGCATGCTCATATGAAATATTGCAATAAATTGCAAGGATAAAGAGAATTAAAAGTAGCTGACATCTTTAATCCAAAAAGAAGGCCTTACAAGCAGCAATATAGCAATATGCAGCAAAACTACAACACTTGATAGTCTAGATATTGAATTACAGGAACATCCACGTCCTTGGACCTTTCCTTTTATAACAATATAAATTTTTGTAAATATGTCACATGGATGCCTTTCATAAAAGACAGTAATAGGCTTAAAGCGATATGAAAATGACAAATGTCAAGTTGAAGAAATTGTAGGCTAATTAGGTACATGTATAACTGACTTAAATATAGCTTATATATAAGGATTTACATGTAGATGTACTCTTTAACAATATATGCAATCCATCTATTTAACTTCCTTTAAACATTACTGATGGTAACTAACATTTGCAACCAATATGGCATTTGGTCTTAACAACAAACGGTCATGTGACTTGGAAAGCAGTGATCTCTGATGCTTTAGACATTACAACAGGATCCCTAAGTGAATGTTTCTTCACTCTATAGATTCATTGCCAGATTTAGGTAAGAATAGTTATGTTAATGCCATATGTCTACCTAACTCTAATATTGAGGGGAAAAACAAAAATTCTGCAGATTATGGGTACATGTATAACTGACTTAAATATAGCTTATATATAGGAATTGACATGTAGATACACTCTATTACAATACATGCAATCCATGTATTTAACTCCCTTTAAAATTACTGATGGTAACTAACATCTCCAACCAAAATGGCATTTGGTCTTAACGAAAAAAGTTCATGTGACTTGAAAAGCAGTAATTTCTGGTTCTTTAGATATTCCAACAGGATTCCTCAGTGAATGTTGCTTCACTCTATGGATTCATTGCCATATCTGAGTAAGAATAGTTATCTTAATGTCACGTGTCTACCTAGCTCTAATATTGAGGGGGAAACAAATTCTGCAGATTAATGACCAGAACTTTAGAAATTACTCGACTTTATAAATAGTCTTTCACTGTAGCAACAGTTCAAAAGTCGGTATTGCGGTAATGACCTGATTTATAACATACTTTTCTAAAATTTCCCGTTGATAGATTAAGATATTTTATAGAAACTAAGGTGCAAACTCCCTCGAACAAAGTTGGAAACAATTTGGCTATTATTGTTATATTCATTTTATTCATCAAACTCTTAACAATGTTTTACGTATTAATGCATCACTGGCTTGCAAATCTTTAGGTTTAAGCATTCATGATTATGGGAAAAGTGCTTCGGATCCGAAGAAATTTATAGATTGTATTTTTACAGAGTCCCTTTCCACTTGTTACTCAACCATGCATCTCTTCTGGTCAACCTTTTCTTATGTTCATACGAGTCGGAGTTCCTTCAGACACTTGTAAAATATATGAAGATCAAGGAAGCTAAATTATGTCATTTCACATACAGGTATACTAATGATGTCTTTCCATTAACAGTTAAACCTTTTCTGATTGGATCTCATTACATTAGTATATCCTCCTGAACTAGAGATTCAAGAATCTACAGATACAGCCTCTTCTAGACATTTACCTCGAATTTGATAACAGCGGTAATCTTAGTACCAGAATCTATGACAAATGAGACGATTTCGATTTTGAAATTATAAATTTTCGTCACCTTAGCAGCCATATACCAACTTCACCCGCGTTTTGAGTATACATTTCTCAACTCATACGATAGTCAAGACCTTAAGCTATTAGCTGCTACTCAGACTTTGTAAAACGGAATCGGTGTCTTAGCAAAAAATTAATGAGCCAGGGTTCTTTCAAAGAAGGTTCGTCCTTTTTTCTCAAAAAAATTATCGGAAAGTACCAAGACCTAATACATAGATATTTAGTGTCTACTTCACAAATGGTCTTGAATTATAGATTCTAGGTGATGAAGTTGTGCATCTTTTTATTTTACTTTAGTTTACCCGTTATTTGTTTTCATCACTACTTTGAAAATAAAGAATTAACTTATATATCTTAAAATTTACAATATTCCTAGCTGAATTATTTTTTATTTCATATATCTTTTACATCCGACGTTGATATTGAAACAACACACAAAATTGAAGTAAAGTTGTGAATGGATTCTGAGTCACAGGTACGGGTACTCGATCGGAATTTATAGTATCAATACAGACTGTGTTTTCTGTCAACCGGGGTTTGAAACAGGGTGTCTAATTCTTCCTCTGTGTTTTAACATTTTCACAAATGAATCGACTACTTCTATATAATCATTTAATTTTGGTGTTACCGTTATAGGGATATGTACTTTGCTGTGTGCAGATGACATTATTCTGTTAGCCAACACTGAGGTTTGTTACAAAACATATTAGATGAGTAATAGCATTTTTATACTGACAATAAAAATTTTTAACAGTTTAAAAGTTTTCCACTTCAGACCAATAAAATTAAGAATGGAATTAGGGATGTGCCAAAAAGACAACAACCCGACCAAAGAGCAGAAAACAGCCCAAGGCCACCAATGGATCTTGAACACAGCGAGAAAATCCAGCACCCGGAGGCGGGCTTCAGCTGGCCCCTATACAAAACTGTGTAGTAGTTCAGTGAAAATGGACGTCCCACTAAACTCCGAAACATATAAATGAACTAAAATTAAAAAAAACATCAAAGATTAACAAAGACCAGAGGCTTCCTGACTTGGGACAGGCGCAAAAATGCGGCGGGGTTAAACATTACACCTTATTTGACGTAAACGTCAAGACGTTCATTGTGGAGATATGAATATTTCTGCTAGCAGTGAATATACTTATCTTGGCCTTGTTTTGAATTATTTCTTCGCTTACATATTACTACAAAAGCAGTGTTTTAAAAGTCCTTGTTTTTTTTAATATAAGTCATTGAAAATTAAAATTTTTAAACTATAAGTAATAAAAATATACAAAAAAAGTAGGAATTAGCGGTCAACATTTTATTGGCATGCAACTTGAGGAATCCGAATAATTGACACAAAGTCAAAAACAAGGATAGCGAACACCCTTAAAGTCAAATCGCTTGTTAGTCATTATGTTCAGTTCTCGGTCGATTCTCAATTGCTAGCTTATGTAGATCAAGTCAAGATATCATGCAGATTAAACGTAGTTGTGTTACCTTTGAACGAACTGAATAGCATGGATCTCTACGAAACTTTCAGTGAGAATATCTCATCTAAACAACTGAGTTGGAGTTAACTAATAATGCTAACTTCTTGTCATGAGAATAAAGAGGGGCGTCAGGATTGAGCCTTCATTTTTGCGAAAATTTGAGATTTACGCTAATCGGGATCCGAGAAAGAATGCTTGATCTTTTCGATAATTCGGGTTTCAGCGTTCACTTATCCGGGAATTCGGGATGACATCCCCTCCTACTCCCTCTCAGAAAAAAAAATTCCTTATGAAAAGTATGCATCATTCGTCAGTTTGCAGTACAATTGATTAGTCGGAGATTGTGAAGAACTCGTCCTCATATTAAAATTCAGTAAATAAATCAATTAAACAGTTATTATTAAAAAAAGAAAAACTGCACCATACACATAAGATATATAGATATTTTATTTAATTATGACTTTAACATAAATATAGTGAGTGTATTGGATATGTACATAATGCAGGCGGTTGTGGTATGTATGCCCACTCCATAAAGCAGGTGATGGTAGTATGTATGTCTACTTCATAAAGCAGGTGATTGTAGTATGAATGGCTACTTCCTAAAGCAGGTGACTGAAGTATGTCGTCTACAGAAAGCAGGTAATCTGGAGAAAATTAAAATATGTTAATAGAAAAAAATAAAATAAACACAAAACATTTATCACATATTTACCTACTTTTTCATTGATTGATTGATTGATTGATTCATTCATTTATTTATTGATTTCTTTATTGATTTCTTTATTGATTGATTGATTGATTGATTGATTGATTGATTGATTGTCACCCCGTTCACTGAGGGTTTAAACATATTTGTTGGTGAATAACACTCTCCATAAAATGCGACAGTGGTGTAACAGCATAATATAAGAACAAACTTCAAAATCGGTTGTATAGAGCCTGAATAAACAGATCGACACAAATCACAAAAAAGTATCGATCTAAGATTACTCACAGTTAATGAAAGCTATTTTAAAGCCAATTTCAAGAAATAAATATACCATGTCTTCCCAGACTAATATATTAAACAGTAAACATCAAACAGATTTAATGTAAAGACGTCATAAACATGACATCTTGCAATGCAAAATATAAATATGTAGGACTATAAATGTTCGTAGTTGTATATCAATAAGCTGTGTCATAATTTATTTAAGTTAAAAATCAGCGTTAGTACAAATAAAAATTATAAATTCAAAGATCACAATACTACAATGTAAATTTTACGACATTTAAATTAATTAAAAGGATCAAATAAGAGAACTATCGATATCGATGACTTTAGGAGAACTTTTATGTTTGATATATATAGATATAGTTCATCCTATTTTGACTCCTCAAAATTCAAGAGTTTATCCTAAACTGAGATAAATTATATGGCTTTCCAAATACCGTTTCGATTCTTAACATCACTGAAGAGACATTAATTGTCGAAATCCGGATATGGTGTACTAAAACCTTTGCACCTTTTGTTTGCGGTTTATCATCTTTTCCGCAAGTTTATTGTTTTCTACTTGGTATTAAGTTAATATAGAGATCAATTTTGTTACACCTTGTGATCAATTTATTTGGCAATCGCCAATGGCAGTCTGCAGGGTTTAAGAACATCAGTTGTTCGACCTTCAAGTCAATTGCGTTTTGTTAAAATATATTTTTTCACTCTTTTGGTCTTTTGGAAAATGTTGTTTGTGCTGTATTTAGACCCTTCTACAACGAAATTTGTTACATGCACACGTATAAAAATTGCGGTTTTTATCCAACGCAATCATAGGTTTGAACGTTGTTTTCAATTTAGACTTGTTTTATATACATATATACATATATATACAGCAAAAGACCAAAAGAGTGAAAAGTATATTTTAACAAAACGCATTTGACTAACAGGTCGAACAACAAATGTTCTTCAATCCTGCTGACTGCCATTGGCGATTGCCAAATAAACGAATCACAAGGTGTAATAAATGGATCTTAACTACAAATTTAATACCAAACAGAAAACAATAAACTTGCGGCAAAGATGGTATACCGCAAACAAAGGTGCAAAGATTTTTTGTACACCATATCCGGATTTCGACAATTAATGTCTCTTCAGTGATGTTAGGAATCGAAACGGTTATTGGAAGGCCACATAATTTACCTCAATTTAGGATGGACTCTTGAATTTTGAGGAGTCAAAATAGGAAGAACGGATTATATAAACTATATATGTATATATATATATATAAAATTGAGAATGGAAATGGGGAATGTGTCAAAGAGACAACAACCCGACTATAGAACAGACAACAGCAGAAGGTCACCAACAGGTCTTCAATGCAGTGAGAAATTCCCGCACCCGGTGGCGTCCTTCATCTAGCCCCTAAACAAATATATATACTAGTTCAGTGATAATGAACGCCATACTAAACTCCAAATTGTACACAAGAAACTAAAATTAAAAATAATACAAGACTAACAAAGGCTAGAGGCTCCTGACTTGGGACAGGCGCAAAAATGCGGCGGGGTTAAACATGTTTATGAGATCTCAACCCTCCCCCTATACCTCTAGCCAATGTAGAAAAGTAAACGCATAACAATACGCACATTAAAATTCAGTTCAAGAGAAGTCCGAGTCTGACTACTAGCAGTTAACTGACATGCCAGCTCCAGACTTCAATTAAACTGATTGAAACATTATTTCTTCATCATATGAATATCAGGCACAATCCTTCCCGTTAGGGGTTAAGTATCATACCATCATAACATATATGAGAAGAACATAACCCGTGTCATGCCAACAACTGGTTTTTAAATAAATGTGTTTAGTGCCGATGCAAAGACCCTATAAGTGAATCAATATTAACACCAAAATATGCAATCTTTAATGACCTGACAACAGTATCGTAACTATATCCCTTCTTAATAAGTCTATTTAAAGGTTTTGTTAGCTTCAGAGGTGAATACTGACATTTTTGTGCTTTATAAAGAATATTTCCATAACAAATTGAATGTGAAATACCTGAACGTATAAGAAGTCTGCATGTTGAGCTATATATATAAGTTGATAATGATTGCCATTGAGACAACCTTCCTTCAAATACCAAAAGAAGTAGATGCAGACATATAAAGGTCAACATACGATTGGTTGTGAAAACGAAACTTTACAACAAAAGATATAATTTCAGCTTGCCAGTTGTGAACATTCCGGCAGCACCTGCATATGGAGTATTTACTTCCTGTTGATACGATATTCCAGAACTTTCATATCTTATCATGAAGGCCTTGATAGAGGTTTGCAGCTTACAAATAAAGTAATGAACTAATATCCCCGAGTGGTGAAGTTGAAATCATCCCTTCAAAAAATTTTACGGACGCCATCACGAGTTCGTTAACCGTTATGGAAAATCTGTTTCACATATGACGATGGATTTGTACCAATTGCCGTAACCACAATCCCGTCTTTTCGTCGATTTACGTTTTTGTCCATGGTATTGTTAGATTGTTTTCGGCTTATGAGTTTTGATATCCTTTTGGTATCTACCGCCTCTCTCATACGACATTCAACAATAAGCAAACACAATCCGTATTGTAAGATATAAAAGGACGCGGCATAACAAAAAAGTAAACAAGTCCAAAAAAACCAAAGACCTCATAAGCATATGGCAGACAGGGACCATTATGTTTGAAATGCCTGTCTGCTAGGTTGAACCTATATACGTAAGTAAAATGAAACAACGCATTCAAACGATGCAAGTTATTAGAGAGAAAACGTGTTAACCTGAAAAATAGATCAGTCGTCATCCTCCTCTATCATCTGGCCAATCATTCTCATGACAGCCAATGGTGATGGCTCGCAGCAAGATGGATCAACACAAAATTGTCGAATCCTTGCGCAGTCACATAGCTGCTTGTAGTAACTGCACAACTGGTCATATACACCAATGATGATAAAGTCGACTGGAGGTTGCCTGACTGTTGAATATAATCATTCAAATTGTTATTATCTAATACTTTCAAAATTTCTAGAATTGTGAGATTAACGTAAAATAAGAATCCATTTGACATTGCTGATCCGTACAATTGGCAAAAAATGAAATATTTTTTTCAAGAAATTTGTTAAATACGGATTTAAATTTATAGAAATATACATATAAAGTCAGGATTCTATTTCGTAAACAATTCAAATTATTAGGGATGATGCGCTATCAATTTAGTTCTTGAAATCCGATAAATTATGGCATTATCATGATCCCTACACGACACTTGTCTTTTAAGAGACAAATTTATCTATTAACTATAAAGCATCATTTAATGTACTTTGAGGGCTTGGCAACTTAAAACTATTGCCTGATTGGTTTTCAAGGGAGAATTTGCAAAGTTCAAAAGACATTTCAAACATCTATTTAAATATATCATGGTAGGGCAAATTAAATATTTTCAGATTGTAAAGACTAACTACCCTAGATAACACGCACTTAAAATGCCATTTTATTGAAGTTATACATACAAAAGATCAACAAGTAAAGTCTGTCGTCATTGAGTTAAAATTTAAGAAAGTTTGAGTGAATAGAGTGTCCGACTTTTCTTTTTTAGTATATTTCATGAATAAAATATAATTTTTTTTTATATATTATTATACCTAAATTGTAATTAAAAAATGATGAAATGAAATTGTATAAAATGTAAGTCAGAAATACTCCTCAAGTTTAAACATTTGTAGTAGCATGAAGCTTTTTTTATTCAAAAACACACCTACTCTGTTTTTATGACTAATTAGAAAGGTATTTCATATGTCCCATATATTTGATGTTTTCGTACTGTGAATTTTAAATGTTATTATATAAACATGCAGCTTTAATATATGAAAATAGCGGAAGCGATAAGATGATTGAAACATATTTGCTTTACACGTTTTCAGAACAAAACAGTCATTTCAAACACGCCTGATCGTAAAAAGGTGTACCCAATTATTTCTTGTCAATAAGATTATTTTCCATTTTTAGAATTTGTTCCTTAAAGACTATTGCAGTTGGCAGAGATGCAAAATATTGCTTTACAAAAATCAATCATTCATCTTTCTAAGGAATTTTTTTCCGTGGAATTCTTGCTTATGCATATTAAAGATCAAGATGTATTTGCACCTACCACAAATACCTCTTGGTTCCAGACTATAATTTGAGTAAAACACGTATATAAAATACAAAAAAATACTTAATTATGCACATCCTTAAACTTTTCAAGGTCATAGAAACATATGTAAGTAATTCAAATATACCATTGGCCATATGTTTCTTCTCTAATAAAGAGATCCGTTCATTTTGTTAAATTTCAATTGGATATCAGCATGTATACACTCTGTCAAATATGTGTTACTGTTTTGACATAGCAGTAGTAATGATATCTTTTTTCTGCATTCTTAAAAAAGAAACACCTGGGGTCTGTTGTTCAACTTGTCGTTAGTTCTAACAAGTCGTTAAAATTTCTTAATCATTTGATTAAAAATAACCATACGATAAGTGTGTTGTTCAACTTGTCGTTAATTTAAATGCGGTGTTAAAAATGCTAAAACTGTCGTGAAATTTATCCACCTCATGAAGGTGTATTAAATGTTAATCATATGATTAAAACATCCAATATAGGTTTATGCTCGAAAAATGAGACGTTTAAGAGATATTTATCCCCTGGAAAGGGATTTTAGCAATGACCAGCTATGAAAGCGCTTTAGATTTGAAAGATACACAATAGATTTGTAAGGAGTTGAGTTAACGCATAAATTGGAAAGGGATTAGACAAGATAGGACGAAGGATCGGACGAATACATACAATGGTCATCTGATAACAGAAAGAAATTGCACATTTCGGCAGTTTTTTGTTTGTATTTTACCGCTTACCGAGCAGTGTTGATTGTAAAGACGGGCCACATTATCGTGCGGAATCATTCAACAAATGATGGCGAACCAGCTTTTATAAAAAATAAAGGTTACTATAGCATTAATGTAAAGGCCATAAGTGATTTCCACAGCAAGTCTTTGCTAATTTTCCTGTTTTTCGAAGTTCAAATATTAGCACATTTAGTAACACCCTTCATCTAACTGCTTACGCGGGTAAATTTTAATGGATAAATTCGACCAACGGATAGCTGGGACCTTACGATATTTATCTTTATGCGTAGTTTTAAAACATCATATATTTATTCCCATTTAGTAAAAATTATGACCATGACGAGGATCCAAATATTAATGATGAAAATTTACTACCGTAAGTGTTTTATGTCATTGATTAAGTATATATATATATATAGTCAATGAAAAGTCTCATATTTCTCAGCTGACACGATATACAAAAACAAACACCTGTTACTCATTTCCGAGTGTCAGATATTTTTTCAAAAGAAGTCTTATACCCCCTTGGGGTTAGGGGTAGGGTGTCTATTACTAATACACCTTATCGCTATTTGTCCGCCGTTACTGGACATTACAAAGGTTCCCGTAAAAGTTTGACGTCATAATAGAAAATATATGACGCTACAATGGAAATGTGATTGTGTTATGACGTCAATAGTTAAATAGGCGCAGATACTTGAGTCATATGGCGCAGATTTCCAAATAGCGATAAGGTCTATACCGGCCTTCAAGAGGCAAAAACTCTCCAATAATTCAGATCATCAATGAATATATGTTTAAATTTTTTAACACTGAACACTGCCTCTCCGGTAAATCCGAGTAAGAAATTATGAAATACAAATGGTTTCAAAATTATAAATAAAGAACATGGAGCATCCTTATAATAGTATATACTATCAGCCATATAACTTTCAGCATGTAATATTCTACCGTTATCATGGTTATGCGAGTAATTACCGTTACAGTTGAGATGAAAATAAGTAGTCAACATTAAACGCCATTTTTGTTTCGCCTGCGACGAAAGTCGCATTATGCGAAACAAGGATGACTATGCGGAGGCTGTGGCAGCGGCAGCGATGTAAACTATTTGTATAAAGCTTTATATTTCAGCCGGTAGAAGACCTGGATGCTTCATACCTTGTATCCAGATACCTTATGTTAGTAGGTCAACTATATGTGGTGTATGGAATGATTGTTAAGGGTACATGTCAGTCTGGCAGGTTTCATCGGACCTTGGCCTCATTTTCATGGTTTATTGGTCGAAGTTAAGTTTTTGTGTTTTTGTCTGTTTTTTAAATACTATAAGCAGTAGGTCTAAATTTGGTGTATGGAATGATTGTAACGTGTACATGTCTGTCTGGTAGGTATAATCAAACCTTGACCTCATTTTTATGGTTCATTGATCAATGTTAAGTTGTGATTTGGTCTGTTTTTTTCAATTTCCATAAGCAATACATGTAGATCAACTATATTTGGTGTATGGAATAATTGTAAGGTGTACATGTCTGTTTGACAGAATTTATTTGACCTTGACCTCATTGTCATGGATCTTTAAAAATGTTGAGATTATGTGACTTGTTTATCTTTAAGACTTTTTAACCTAAAATCAATGGTCAGTAAAGAAGGTTAGACATTTCAGCGTGTGCACTTTTGTTATTTCCTTTGACGTCATTATCCGACAGTTTGATTTTTAAAAATAAAACAATGCTGAAACCTTTTAAATAATTTCTTTATTAGGGTGTTTTACTGGTTAAAACTTTATTTATTCAAATAAACTTTAATATAATCAGCCATGTCTGCATTATCATGTAAGTCTTTTTTTTTTTAACTTTCTTTAGTCACCACAAATTCTCCATCCTTTTATTGTCAATCTTCTGGTATAATCTAATGGAATTTCTTTTTTCCGAACTTTTGGTTTTGTTTTTTTTTTTTTTCAATTGAGAGACATTGATAATACACGTGTTTTCGTTCGGAAGGTGATCTACAATGTAAGAACATGCTATTTATGACGTACAAATATTCATATGGCTATAAAAAGTTGCGAGATCTATGCATGTTAGGTGAGACACAACAAATCTATAACGAAATCCAAGAAACAAACAAATAAGTCAAGTGTTTATTAACCACAGAATGAAAGGAGTGAATAATTATGTTTAATGACACTGAATTCATGGTAAGAGGTGAATGTTGAGAACTGTAAAATACATGTAGTCAAATGAACGTGAGCTACAACATATGTAAGAAAACCACTTAATAAATATGCATAAATATACACCTAAGAATAAAAAGATTTTTAATTGCGATGACATGTCAAGTATTATTTTCTAAGGCTGAGATATAAAACATTAATAATCACATTCATCTGATTTAATTCATTTGCGAATATAAAATATTCATCTTTTAAAATGACATGCATATTTTTGAACACAGGTTTTCTTAGTTAGGCTTTTTTCCACCCAGCACAAAAGTCATGAGACAAACAAACACGGTCTCGGTGGTCTCGAGTGCCGCAGGTCGTCGGTTCAAACCGCAGCCGTGTCAAACTAAAGACTTTAAAATTGGTATTTGATGCGTCCCCGCTAATCAAGCGGTATTAATGGATAAGAGCAAAGACTAGTCGGCTCGAAGTGAGGATAAAGTGTCTCAGGACGGTAACATGTCTTCCTACGGAATGTTGTCTTGTGAATAAGCACGTTACAAATCCGGTTCAGCCAGTCAGTCTAGTACAAAGCTTGGTTAATATTCATTACGCACTAGCATGTTCTGGTCCTAAATATGTATCTAATATGCCATGCAGGAAGTTAAACAGCCACCCATCATCATCAGCAAAAGACAGACAACCCATGCAGTAACACAGTGTGTTTGATATTCAATATTAGTTTTTTTTTCTTTTGTTTCTGAAATTTGAACATGTTGATAAATAGGAGACGTGTATATAGCTGCTCAAAGGATTTAACGAATATTTTATTATTTTTTTTTAATTGTTTAAAGTCATTTTAAGTACTGTAATTTTAGAGGAGATATGATTGATTGACTGTTGTTTGCTGAACGGCTAGTGGCAAATACTTCATGCATATTTATGACGGAGAGCAATTTAAAGAATGTATTTCAAACAAGAAGCTGCATATTTTGCTGGAAAAAAATTGAAACATACACATAGTCCATAGTTATTTTACTCATAGTAAGCATCCATCTTTGTTGGTCGGTTGTACCATAATCTCACCCAATTGTAAAAGAGACCAAAAAGTACCAAATAAACATCTGCTACTTGTATATAATCTTTTTGTATGTGCCTGTCCCAAATCAGGAGCCTGTAATTCAGTGGTTGTCGTTTGTTGCTATATATCATATTTGTATTTCGTTCATTGTTTAGTACACAAACAACGCCTTTAGTTTTCTCGTTTGAATTGTTTAACATTTGTGATTTCTATGCCTTTTAAAGCTTATTCTTCGATATGGGTTTTGCTCGTTGTTGAAGGCCGTACAGTGGCCTATAGCTGTTAAACTTCTACATTATTTGGTCTCCGGTGGGGAGTCGTCTCATTGGCATTCATACCACATCTTCTTATATTTATATTTACTAGTATGCACCCCATCTCGCGTGAATATCGGATACCCAAGATATATCATATTGTCAGATAGTTTTCTTTGACCTTTATCACTGTTTTTTTTTCTTTTTTTTTTGCCCAAAAAAAAGTTCAGGGTATTGTTAATAAATGTAACGAACAAGTCGTTATTTTAGTATAAAAAAATTACATTACATTACAAAATTGAAGATCTAAAATTGTCACATGGGGTCTACTTATGCCGTATGAATTACAATGTATGTTATCGGTCACAGTTCTGTAATTTATTTTTCACCATCCGTATAATAATCATATAAAATGTTTACTTGGCATGGCATACTTGATTAAATACGGACGTGAAAAAAAAACACTTTTCACCATCAAAGGAGTGTAATATTCCACGGATTTTCCATTACGAGCATTTCGTCATTTATAAAACGAAAAACGTGTATCTTAGAGAGTTGTACTAAATAAACAACAGAAATTAAAGATTTTTGAAGGACTCATTATCATGTGGATATATAAATTTAACAAAGACTTCAAGTTATATGCTTTCACTGTGACATCAAATTCCATGAAGATCATGGCCATGACGGACTCATGAAGAATACATTTTTCTGCAACCAACATTTTTAAGAGAGGACCGAATACAAACACTGACAATGTTTCCGAGTTGGAACAGCCACTTGCTGCATGGTAAAACTAGTTTGAACAATGATTGGACCGTTTTTTTAGAAACAAAATTTCATCATAAATTGCTCATTGGATGCAATTGACTGAGTTGGATTTTTTCGACCATCTGACCCCATCATTTCAGATAACAAAGATTTGTGAAAAAACAATTGAAAAACTCTGGCCTTATTCATAGGTTAAATGAAAATGTTTATCATTGGAAAATGTACCCTAAAGCATTTTTTATTAAAAAGAATGCATTACTTTCTGCATTAACTGAAATTATTTTTCCCTTCAAGCACATTTTACTTTGAAATCAAATAGACAGTTTTGAATAATCTGAAATAGTAATATGTTACCATAGAAAATATGAACATGTCCAAAGTCAGGAACCTGATGTTCAGTGGTTGTCGTTTGTTGATGTGGTTCATAAGTGTTTCTCGTTTCTCGTTTTTTATAGAGGTTAGACCGTTGGTTTTTCCTGTTTGAATGGTTTTACACTAGTAATTTTTGGGCCCTTTATAGCTTGCTGTTCGGTGTGAGCCAAGGCTCCGTGTTGAAGGCCATACTTTGGCCTATAATGGTTTACTTTTACAAATTGTGACTTGGATGGAGAGTTGTCTCATTGGCACTCATACCACATCATCTTATATATAATTAAATATATTATATTCAATCATATTTGCCACCTAAAAACTATGTAAAAAGAAAGTCTATATTTGAATGCAGAAAAGGAAGTTATGGGCCTTGTTTTTCAATGTGTTGTGGGAAACACTTGCTTATTACCCAAAATTAATCATACTATTAAAAACTAATACAGTGATTAACTAATACAATGATTAAATTAAGTAGAACGACAAAATTTAATCATTGTGTTTACTAATCATGCAATTAACTTTTAACGACTCATTAAAGTTAATCATATGATTAGTTTAACGATAAGTTAAACAACAGACCTCTGAATTGTGCTTGTAATCGAACTGAATAGAATCACAAGGGTTGATTCCCTTGATGCTAAAGCTACTGCTTATACTCTTCCATACATTTTGTTAAATCATGCAAATATAAGTACTAATGTTATCAAATAAAATATGTCAACTAGGTTTCACCAATTGAAACTTGCCCACAGTTGTTTGTAGCTTCCTGTAGTTTAATGAACCTATAATTACTGTGTCCGTCCCATTGAATTGTTCCTTACAAATACAATACGAACGATAACAATTGTAAAATTTATGCAATATTTACATACTTACCCTTAATTTGTTTGCGCTTTAAAACATGTTCCTGTGAAATTTTGCAATAAATTCCAATAATTAACAGAATTAAAATTTGTCTTGGGGACATCTTTAATCCAAAAGGCTTTACAAACAATTAGTTGTCTTTTGCTGCTATAGAAATATGCAACAAAACTACAACACTTGATAGTCTAGCTATTGCTTTGCAGGAACATCCACGTCCTGGGACCTTATCTTCTATAACAATATAAATGTTGTTAATATGTCACCTGGATGCATTTTTATAAAAGACAGGAATAGGCTTAAAGCGATATGAAAATGTCAAATGCCAAGTTGTAGAAATTATAATCTAATTAGGTACATGTATAACTGACTTAAATATAGCTTATTTATAAGAATTGACATGTAGATACACTCTATTATACTTGTGTCATCTGTACTATTATTTGTCTGTTTGTCTATTAATTTTTGGCCATGGCGTTGTCAGTTTGTTTTCGATCTATGAGTTTGACTGTCCCTCTGGTATCTTTCGTCCCTCTTTTACTATACATGCAATCCATGTATTTAACTCCCTTTAAAATTACTGATGGTAACTAACATCTCCAACCAAAATGGCATTTGGTCTTAACGAAAAAAGGTCATGTGACTTGAAAAGCAGTAATTTCTGGTGCTTTAGATATTCCAACAGGATTCCTCAGTGAATGTTGCTTCACTCTATGGATTCATTGCCATATCTGAGTAAGAATAGTTATCTTAATGCCACATGTCTACCTAGCTCTAATATTGAGGGGGGAAAAAAATTCTGCAGATTATATGACCAGAACTTTAGAAATTACTCAACTTTATAAATAGTCTTTCACTGTAGCAACAGTTCAATAGTCGGTATTGCGGTAATGACCTGATTTATAACATACTTTTCTGAAATTTCCCGTTTATAGATTCAAATATTTTATAGAAACTAAGGTGCAAACTCCCTCGAACGAAGTTGGAAAGATTATCTATTTTATTTACAAAACTCTTACAATGTTTTACGTATTTATGCATCACTAGCTGGCAAATCTTAAGGTTTGAGCATTCCCCTTGTTAACCAAAAGGCACCTCTTCTGGTCAACCTTTTCTTATGTTCATATGAGTCGGAGTTCCTTAAGACACTTGTAAAATATATAAAAAGTAAAAAGTAAAAAGTACCGGAATCTATGACAAATGAGACAATTTCAATTTTAAAATTATAAATTTTCGTCACCTTAGCAGCAATATACCAACTTAACCCGCGTTTTGAGCATACATTTTTTAACTCATACGATAGTCAAGAGCTTGTAGCTGCTACTCAGATTTTGTAAAACGGCATCCGTGTCTAAGCAAAACATTAATGAGCCAGGGTATTGTCAAAGAACGTCTCGTACTTTTCTCAAAAAATTCATTGGAAAGTACCAAGACCTACAACATAGATATTTACTGTCTAATTCACAAATAATACACGATGGTCTTGAATTATAGATTCTAGGTGCTGAAGTTGTGTACCTTTTTATTTTACTTTAGTATACCCGTTATTTGTTTTCAACACTACTTTGAAAATAAAGAATTAACTTATATATCTTAACTTTACAATATACCTAGCTGAACTTTTATTTATTATTTCGTATATCTATTACATCCGACGTTGATATTGAAACAACACACCAAGTTGATGTAAATTTTTGAATGCATTCTAGGTCACGGGGAGAGGTACTCGATTGGAGTTTATAATATTAATAGGGTCTGTGTTTTCTTTCAACCGGTGTTTGAAACAGGGTGTTCAATTCTTCCTCTATTTTTTTTTAAATTTTCACTAATGAATTGGCTACTTGCATAAAATCATTCAATTTTGGTGTTGACATTATAGGGATATGTACTTTGTTGTGTACAGATGACACTATTATGTTAGCCAATACTGAGGTTTGTTACAAAACATTTTAGATGAGTTATAGCATAGTTATACTGAAATTAAAAAAAAAATTTAATACAGTTTAAAAGTTTTCCACTTCAGACCAACCTCATTTGACGATAAAATCATGACTTTCAGTGTGGAGATATGAATATGTCTGCTAGCAGTGAATACTTGTCTTGGCTTTTTTTTTAATTATTGCTTGGCTTACATATTACTACAAAGCAGTATTTTGAAAGTCCTTGTTTTTTTAAACATAATTCAAATTTTTAAACTATATGTAATTAAAGTATGAAAAAAAAGTACAAAATTTTTGTTGGCATGCAACTTGAGGATTCCGAATAACTGGCAAAAAATCAAAAACAAGGATAGCGAACATCCTTTAAGTCAAATCGCTTGTTTGTCATCATCTTCAGTTCTCGGTCGATTCTCAATTGTTAGTTTATGTAGATCAAAGTTATGATATCAAGCTGATTAAACGTAGTTGTGTTATGCTTTGAATGAGTTGAATATCATGGATCTCTACCAAACTTTGAATGAAAATATTTCATCTATACAGCTGAGGTTGAGTTAACTAAACATGCAACTTGTTGTTATGAGAGTAGAGATGGGCGGAAGGACCTTTTTCAGGACGTCATGATTGGGCCTTTATTTTTGCGAAAATTTGGGATTTACGCTTATCGGGATCCGGGAAAGAATGCTTGATCTTTTCGTTAATTCGGGTTTCAGCGTTCATTTTTCCGGGAATTCGGGATGACATCCCCTCCTACTCCCTCTCAAAAAAAAATCCTTATGAAAAGTACGCATCATTCGTCAGTTTGCAATACAAATGATTAGGCGGAGATTGTGAAGAACTCGTTCTCATATTGAGAGTCAGGTAATTAATCAATTAAACGGTTATTATTGAAAAAAGTAAAACTGCACAATTCAAATAAGATATATAGATATTTTATTTAAATATGACTATAACATTAGCTGGTTCATTAACCTATATATAGTGAGTGTATTGTATATGTTCACTACATAATGCAGGCGGTTGTGGTATGTATGCCCACTCCATAAAGCAGGTGATTGTAGTACGTATGTCCACTACATAAACCAGGTTTTCTGGAGAAAAATAAAACATGTTAATAGAAAAAAATAAAATGAACAAAAGTCATTTATCACATATTTCCCGTTTTTTGATTGATTGATTGATTAATTAATTAATTGTCAATCAGTTCGCTGAGGGGTAAACACATTTGTTGGTGCAAAACATTCTGCATAAAATGTTGGTGTAATAGCAGTTAATGAAAGCTATTTCAAAGCAAATTTCAACAAATAAATATATATTGACTTCTCAGACTATCAAACAGTATATATCAAACGGATTTAATGTAAAGACGTCAAAAACATGACCCTTTGCAATGGAAAATATAAATATGTAGCACCATAAGTGTTCATAGTTGTATATCAATTTATATTAAGTTATGTCATATTTCATTCAAGTTCAAATAAGTGTTACTACCAATAAAGATAATATATTCAAAGATCACAATGTTACGTCATTTAAAAATAAGTTTATTCAAAGGCTCAATAAGTTTACATGTATTGAATCTAAATTAATGGGCTATATAAACAATATATTACCGTAAAAATTTGGATGTGATATTCGTTTGTAATAAAAGCTCTCTTTTGTTTAAGGTTTTACCGACAGAAAGTTTTGCGTGGTTTGTAGTAATCTTTTAATTAAACTTATAACATAATCATCTCAGAAGAAAGTAAATGATCAAGATTTACGTAAAGTCATTTACAATGTCGAGAACTATCAATATCTATGCCATTAAAAAAACATTTGTGTTTGATATATAAAAAAATAAGTTGATAATAATTGCCATTGAGACAACTTTCAATCGGAGAACAAAAGACGTAGATTCAAACATCTTAAGGTCAACATACGATTGGTTGAGAAAACAAAACATTACAACAAAAGATATGATTTCAGCTTCCAAATTGTTTCCAGTTCTATGTAGCAACATTCCAGCAGCGCCTGCATGTGGAGTATGTATCTCCCAGTTGAAACGATATTTCAGAGCTTGCATTTCCTATCATGAAGGCCTTGATAGAGGGTTGCTGCTTACAAAGAAAGTAATGAACTAAGAGTTCCAAGTGGTGAAGTAGAAATCATCCCTCCGAAACTTTTCGGACGCCATCACGAATTTGCCGACCATATAGGAAAATCGGTTTCACATATGACGACGGATTTGTTCAAATCGTCATGACTACAATCCCGTCCTCTTTTCTTTGGAGCATGATTTGTTTTTTTGTGAGGTTTCGTGTTGTTCGGTTGTTTGTCTTTCTGTCGTTTTTCGTTTTTCGTTTTTGGCTATGGCATTGTTTGATGGTTTTCGACTTATGAGTTTGAATATCCTTTTGGTATCTTTCGCTTCTTTTATACGAAAGTCAATAAGGGGCAAACCCCAATCCGTATTGTAAGATATAAAAGGACGCGGCATAAAAAAAATGAAACAAGTCAAACAAAAAAGAAAACCAACGGCGTGATACATGCTCGAAATACAAATATGACAGACAGCAACCAATATGTGTGATATGCCTGCCTGTTTAGTTGAACCTATACACGTTAATAAAATGAAACAACGTTTTTAACGGTGCAAGTTATAAGAGACAATTTTTTACCTGACGAATAATTCAGTCGTCATCCTCCTCTATCATCTGCCCAATCATTCTCATGACAGCAAATCTTGATGGGTTGCAGCAAGATGGATCAACACAAAATTGTCGAATCCTTGCGCAGTTACATATCTGCTTGTAGTAACTGCACAACTGGTCATATATCCCAAAGGGGTTTGGCGCAGGTGTGGTGACTGTTGAAAAATAATTGATAAATACGCATTTCAATTTTCATATAAAGTCAGGATTCTATTTCGTAGAAAACTTCCAATTATTAAGAATGATGTGCTGTCAATGTATTTCTTGAAAAACGATAAATTCGTTCAGATGGCATATTACGGTCCTTACATGACAGTTGTATTTTAAGAAACAAATGTATCTATGAGCTATAAAGCATCATATAACGTACTTTGAGGGCTTTAGCAACTTAAAAATATTGCTTCATTGGATGTCAGGGGGAGGAGGAATTTCTAAGTTCAAAAGACACTTAAAAAATCTATTCAAATATATCATGGTAGGGCAGACTAAACATTTTCAGAGTTTGAAGACTAGATCTTTAGTTTTTTATGTTGTGTTGTATGTACTGTTGTTTGTCTGAGTTTAAAATGATATCTTATTGAAGTTATACACACAAAAGATCCACAATTAAAGTCTGTCGTCTTTGAGTTAAAAATTTAAGGAAATTTGAGTGAACGGTATAAAATATGTTAAAAATACATTTAAACATTTGTAGTAGCACGAAGATTTTTTCTATTCAAATACACCCTGTTATTATGACTAATTAGAAAGGTATTTCAATTTTCCCAAATATTTCATGTTTTGGTACTGTTAATTTTTAATATTTTATATCAACATGTAGCTTTAATAAATGAAAAAAGTGAAATCGGAAGCGAGACGATGTATAAAATACATACACTTCACGTTTTCAGGACAAAACAGTCAATTCGAACACGCTTGACTGTGAAATAGTGTACCCGATTATCTCTTTTCGACTTATTGCCCATTTTTATGATATGACTCCATACTATAATTTGAGTAAAACACGTATATAATATTCAATACAAATCCTCAATAATGCACATCCATCAAGGTCATAGAAGTAGATGTAAATTATTCAATTATACCAACTTGACCATCTTTACCTTCTCTATTTAAGAGTTTCATTCCTTTTTTTTAATTTCAATTCGATATCAGCCTGTATACACTCTGTCAAACGTGTGATACTGTTTTGACGTAGCGGTAGTAGTGATATCTTTTTTTCTCAATTCTTGCAAAAAAAAACCTGAATTGTGCTTGTAATTAAACTGAATAGAATCATATGGGTTGTTTCCCTTGATGCTATAGCAAATGCTTATACTGTTTGTTTTGACGTAGTGGCTTGCAAAAAGAAACCCCTGAATTGTGCTTGTAATTAAACTGAATAGAATCACATGGGTTGTTTCCCTTGATTTTATAGCAAATGCTTATACTGTTTTGTTGAATCATGCAAATACAAGTACTATTGTTATTCAATAAATATGTCATCTAGGTTTCACCAATTGCAACTTGCTCAAAGTTTTGGTAGCTTCGTGTAGTTGTATGAACCTATACCCACTGGGTTCGGCCCATTAAATTTCATCTTAATACAAAAACACAATACGAACGATAACATTGGCAAAATGTATGCACTTTTTACATACTTACTTTGAACTTGTTTGCGCTTTAAAACAAACTCCTGTGAAATATTGCAATAAATTCCGATAATAAATAGAATTAAAACTTGTCTTGGTGACATCTTTAATCCAGCAAGAAGGCCTTACAAACAATAGTTGTCTTTTGCTGCTATATAAATATGCAACAAAACTACAACTCTTGAATGTCTAGCTATTGCTTTGCAGGAACATCCACGTCCTGGGACCTTTTCTTCTATAAGATAAATGTTGTAAATATGTCACCTGGATGCCTTTTCATTTAAGACAGTAAAAGGCTAAAGGCGACATAAATATGTCAAATGTCAAGTTGTAGAAATTGTAGGCTAATTAGGTATATGTATTATTGACTTATACTGACAGATATAGCTTATATATTAGGATTTACCTGCAGGTGTACTCTGTTACAATATATGCATCCATGTATATAACTCCCTATAAACCGAACTGATGCTGACTAGCATCTGCAACCAATATGGAATTTGGTCTGAACGAAAAGAGTTCATGTGACTTGGAAAACAGTGATTTCTGGTGCTATTGATATTCAAACAGGATCCCTAAGTAAATTTTGCTTCACTCTATAGATTCATTGCCAGATCTAAGTAAGAATACGTACCCTAATGCCACACGTCTAATTTTGTAGGAAAAAAATCTGTATATTCCATGACAAGAACTTTTCAAATTACTCGACTTTATAAATTGTCTTTCACTGTATAAGCAGTTCAATGGTCAGTACCGCGGTACTGGCAAAATTTATATCATACTTTCTAAAATTGCCCGTTGATGGATTAAAAAATTATATAGAAACTAAGGATAAACTCCCTCGAACAAAGCAGGAAAGAACTGGCTTTTAGTTTTATATTCCTTTTGGTAATAAAAATCCTAATAATGTTTCAACGTATTTATACATCCCTGGTTTGCAAATCGTTATGTTTGGACATTCCTGGTGATATTAAGTCTATAATAGCGCTAAGGGTGCGCGAACTTCATACAGTGTTATTTGACAGTGTTCCCTTTTAACTTTTAGAATAAGAACATCATAAACAGGGCCATGTAGAATAACATTTTTTACATTGTCACCAATAATGTTAAAGCATTTAAAACAGCATCTCTCTTCTAGTGGTCTCTCATGAATCCGTAAAGATTGGCTGTGATAAATAAAACAAAAATATGTTTCTTTTATTACTGTATTCTATGTTTGTACGCATAAGGTGAGACGTTTATGACAATAAAATGTTTGATTGATTTATTCTTAACATCAAAGATTGAATATGCATGTAGTTTTTGTGGTCATGTTGTTATATTAATAGGTGACTTGATATTGTCCCAAGACCGAGGAGTTAAGAATTTTCTTTAAAAAAAGGAATCAAAGTATCGTCCACCTTCGAAAATTAGTTGATATGAATTTCTTAAAGTCATGAGAAATGCACCTTCCTTCTTGCTGCAAATCGTTGTGCAAATAAGAACGCTAATAACATTTTTTTTTTCTTAAAGAAATACATGAATAACGTGGAATGTCGTATTCATCATTTTTAAAGTATTGTTACACATAATTGTTCCACTTAAATTATTTCTAAACTGAAAAACAAACTAGATAACCTGGGAAATAGAGTATGTATAAGCTGACAATACAAGCAACATTGTTGTCTTCGTTCGACTTAAGTACTTTACCGAGATATTCAAACAAGTTACAAACTATAATGCGTAGACAAAAGAAGAGGAAGATAACAAATGGTGAATTAAAACTCATAAGTCGATTGGTTGATTGATTGGTGTTTTAACGCCACTTTCAACACTATTGTGCTATTTCGATGATGTCAGTTTTTATTGGTGGAGGAAGTCGGAGTGCCCGGACAGAACAACAGACCTTCGGTAGGAAAACCAACAATCCTAGTCAATTAAGATTGGAGTCTAGTGCATTGCCCCGTGCGGGATACAAACTCACAACCTTAATGTTGACTGGTTAGTGAAACAGTAGTTGGACTACTTAGACCACTCGGCCACCGAGGCCCCCTCATAATTCGAAGAAAGACCGACAAAATTATGACAGAAAATAAAAAAAACGACGAAAAGAGAACAGCATTCTACAAAACACTACATAAAAACTAAAGACTAATCAACATGACCCCTTTTCCAAAAATATAAATAAACAGCAAGAGGGATCACAGGTGCTCCGGAAGAGTGTGACATGTGGCATCGGTCGAGTTGCTCATGGTAAGTATTAATTCGGTAAATGGTTTTATTCGCTGATGTCACAATCGTAAGTACTAAATATGCAAATCATGTTAAAATGTAATCCGTAAGCACTAGTCAGAGATATTTAAAACACATTACAAATTATTGACATCACGTAAACAATTTAGTGGAAGTTATTGAACCCTACAAAGTTCATACTATCATGTATTCCTTTCCTAATTTACAAATACATCTTCATCAATTTCGCTTTATATCTGTATCCAGTAAATTATTGCAACAAATATTCTACTAACTAGTGCTTTTACATACGTTAGGAACTCGTTATCAAACATTTTTAAAAAGCCAGTTAATAGTGGCATTAACCTTTTCTGGATTGTTAAAAATACTTGGAAGTTGTGTTCCTTTGATGGTCAGTTTGTTTCCGTTGACAGTTATCATTTCTCTCATCTGTATATCACACTACCATATAATCTTATAAAAACTCCATTTCCCTATTTAATACAGTAAACGTTTGATCTATATGGATGCAACTATATCTGTTGTAGTCAATACAATTCATTTTAATCGATAAATTTAACAAAAATACACTTATTGTACAAAACATAGTTAAAGCCATTAGTTTTTTGCTTGATATAAATAACAAGGAAGCTATGAAACCAGGAGTTCCAAGTAGTGAAGTTCATCACCGAATGACGTCACATTCAAATCCAGTTAATAAATCAATTATGCGATTATTACTTAAAAATAAGAATAACTGCATCAGTCACGTAAGATATAAGGTTTATTTCATTTAATTATACAGGCAGCTGTCGTATGTATGTCCACTATCATATATAGCTACATAACTCAGGTGAATGTAGTACGTATGTCCACTACATAAATCAGATGATTGAAGTATGTATATGCCCATTACATAACGCAGGTGATTAAAGTATGTATGTCCTCTACATGAAGCAGGTTTTCTGGAGAAAATTGTAACCTGCTAATAAAAAAATAGTATTACATTGAATCCACTACATGAAGCAGGTTTTCTGGAGAAAATTGTAACCTGTTAATAAAAAAAATAAAATGAACAAAAAACATTTTTCACATATTTGCTGGCCTTTTCATTGATTGATTGATTGATTGATTATTTTTCAACCAATTCAATGCCAGTTTACACATATTTGTCGTCGAAATACCCTTTCCCTAACACAGGACAGTGGTGTAACAGCATAATATAAGAACAAACTTTATTGTTGAATAGTACTTGAATAATCAGATCGACACGAACCACAAAAGAAACTAACAATACGACACAAAGTGTCGATGTAACATCACTCGCAGTTACTGAAAATAGTTCAAAGCCAATTTCAACTAATTGATATACTATGTCTTCCCAGACTAATATATTAAACAGTATACATCAAACGTAAGACTTCATAAACATGACATAATGTAGGAGCATAAGTGTTCGTAATTGAACATAGATTTATATTAAGGTAGCACAATACAAAAAACAATATAATTTTATATTAGCTTTGAAAACAAATGCACGTGTCTGGCTGATACAAGTTGAGATTATGTGTGCAGTGCTCTGTAATTAATCAATAGAATTATTTGATAGCTTTATGACCAATGACCAGACAAATACAATTGTACAACAGTTTATGTTTCTGACGTTAATGATGATTCTACTATCATATTTTTTTAGGAGAATGTTTATTATGTTTATGAGTCTGAATGTCCCTTTGGTATCTTTCGCCTCCCTTTTAAATATGAATTCTTTTTAAAACAAAACGCATTTTTTCCCGAAACTAGAATATTAAGTAAATTCGAGTTTGTGTAAAACAGCATATTTTCGTTGTATACCATTATATTCATAGAAATCCCCCATATGAATCTTCTAGACTGACCATCTGATAATTTTATGTACATATGTATAAATTGCTTTTGGGGAAAATATTTAAAAAAAATCCAAATTAAAAAAAAACAAATGCAACGTGAAATTAAACTTCTAAAATCATTAAGGTGGACGGAGTTTTGAACATATCAATAGCAAGGCCAATAATGATGTAACTTCTCTCGCAAGATCTGATTTTTGATGCACAGGGGTGCACATTTTATATATTTAGAATTGCTGAGATGGAATGTTTTCTAACTGGTCGAAACCAAATTGATTTATGATTAAAGGCCAATCCTGAAGTATCCCCATGGTACATTTGTGAATTATATTGAATATGTTAATGAGGTTCAAGTAGGAAAATCCTTATTTATTTAATTGCGACATACATTTTTGTCATGAAAATGTAGTTTTAAATAAAATTAGATCCTAGATGGGTATTTCGATTTGTCTGATTTTAATACATTTTGATCTTCGACCTGTTATCTTCAAAAGGGTGTCTGAGATTTCCAATAAATCCAATAGAACAAATTCTATACCAATTGAATTTAGTGAGTTCTTAAGAATTAAGGTTGCAAACTGAATTGGAGGTTTATGAGAGCATAACATACAATAGGAAAAATCTGAGACATCTTTTTGGAGGTCAAAATGTGTTGCACAAGAATCTATCAAAAAATTTGGGAGGCTAAGAATAACAAAGAAACTAATTTTGTTTAAAGGTGTACATCACAGTTTAGCAAACAATTAGTAGTAGTACATAATTATGAAATTATACAAATTTGAAAGATTAAACTTTCTTCTTTCTATTGCTTTGTCATTTATAAATTCTGAAGCTGTATGAAAGTATTTATATTAGTTTGATGTTGTCTGATTGGTGGTAAATATATTTGTATTGTGTTACCTTACGTTATGTTTTAATTTATTAAAAGTAAAAAAAAAGTTTTAGTACCGATAAAGAGAATATACTTAAAGATCTTAGTACTACAATATAAACTTGACAACCTTTAACAATAAATTTATTCAAAAGTTCAATGTGTTTACATTGATTGTATCTAAATTGATTTGTTATATAAACAAAATCACCGTACAAATTAGGATGTGATATCCCATTTGTAATAAGGATATCTTTTGATTTGGTTTCAGTGACAGAAATTTTTGAATATAGCTTCAAGTATTCGTTTAACATGTTAAAAGCTTTATGTCACAATTCTCTCTTGCAAATGTCAATCATTTTAGATGCTATTAAAGTTAATGTCGAACACGGTCAAAGAACACATTCGATTCATGTTTGATATATATAAAAATAAGGAGATGTGGTGTAATTTCCATTGATACAACTTTCCATCTGAGACCAAAAGACGTTGATGCAAACAACTAAATATCAATGTACGACATTCAACAATGAGCAAATTCCATTCCGTATTGTAAGATATATAAGGGCGCGGCATAACAAAATGTGGAACAAGTCAAAAAAGAAAACCAAAGGCCTGATACATGCTTAAAATACCAATAAGGCAGACAGAAACCATTATGTTTGATATGCCTGCCTGATTTGTTGAACATATTCTCATAAATAAAATGAAACCACGAATTCAAACGATGCAAGTTAATAGAAGAGAAACCTTATTACCTTAAGAATAATTCAATTGTCATCCTCTATCTGGCTAATTATTCTGACAGTTTTTTTACATTTTTTTACAAAAGGCCTTACAAACAATAATTTGTCTTTTGCTGATATAGCAATATGCAGCAAAACTACAACAGCTATTAATTTGCAGGAACATCCACGTCCTAGGACCTCTTCATCTATAATTCAAATGTTGTAAATATGTCACCTAGATACTTTTTTTCATAAAAGACAGTAATAGGCCAAAGGCGACATAAATATGTTAAATGTTAAGTTGTAGAAAATGTAGGTTAATAAGGTGCATGTATAATTGATTTTACCTGTAGATGTTCTCTATAACAATATATGCATTCCAAGAATATAGTAACCTCTAAACATTACTGATGCTGACTAACATCTAGAAACAATATGGCATTTGGTCTGAACAAATAAAGGACACGTGACTTGGAAAAACAGTGACTTCTTGTTGATCAGATATTCAAACAGTATCCCCAAGTCAGAGGCGAATTTGCTTTACTGTACGGATTCATTGCCATATCTGAGTAAGAATTCATAATGCTTCATGTCTATCTTACTTTTATATTGAGAAAAAACGCTTGCGATTCCTTGACCAGAACTGTAAAAATTACGCAACATTATAAATTGTCTTTCACTGTGGTAGCAGCTTAATGGTCAGTAATTTTGTACTGACATAATTCAAAACATACTTTTCTAAAATTCCCCGATAATATACGTTTTAAAAAATTATATAGAAACTAAGGTAATAACTCATTCTGGCGCAGTTGAGATTAAGTTGGCTATTCTTTTAGGATTCCGTTTGGTCATAAAACTCTTAACAAGGTCTCTACGTATTTATACACCCCTGCCTTGCAAATTGTTAAGTTTGAGCGTTCCTAATGAACGTAAATCTTGAAGAGCGCTTCGGACGCACGAACTTTTTATGGTATTATTTTACAGTTACCCCTTTCTTTAACTGGCTTTGATGACATGAATTTCGTTATTCAAGCATTTAAGCATACACAAACCATACAAAGTATAGCGAACCATGTCGATTAAACAGGAATATTTTTACATTGGCTGATGAGGTCAATCAGACACATAATTGTTAATAATTGGAATTACATAGTTAAAAAATAGTTGACTGAGATTGAGTTGGCAGACTTTTAATAGATACCAATATTAGTGTTAATAAAAATCATTTGGTTGATGCAGTGATGTCATAAATATATATTGGTAAATGGAAAAGCAATATTAATTCATCCTCTTCTATAGGAGGCAATGTCTGTCTTAAGGATGTTTGCTTCCCCTGTTTTTGAATTTCTGCCAGATTTTCGGAATCCTCTAGTTTTATCCATGTATTGCCATTAAAAAATTTTGCCCACTAACCCCTACTTTTCTTTTCATAATTTTATTACATATAGTTTAAAAAGCCATATTTGAAAATCTTATAAAATCATTGTTATTTTTTCGTGGTTTTTGAAACAAAACAGCGGCCAATGTTAAACGTATGAAAAGTCTAGAGAGAATCATTTCCCGCCAAATTTTCAATGGCTTTTATCTCGAAAACAAGCACACGGAATCTTAATCTTTTTCTGCTTTTTTAGTTCCTTTATTTATATACTATCATTTTAGAACAGTCTTAGAACTGTTTCCAGGAGTGTTACAATATCCTTGCCTGTGCTTTACAACTTAAAAACTTCCATGCCTCATCTCAACATCAATTTGTACACAATTCAATTTTGAAAGAAGTAAATTGGAAGTAATAATTTTATATCCAGTTCACAAGTAGAATACTAACGCCCTGAACATCTGTTATCTGGACTTTTCTAGTTTCTACTTTCTAGTTCAGTGCATATGAATTTTATTGATAGAAGCGGGATTTCATCAGTCCTTTGTAACCATAAATTCTAGACTTAGTCCCCGTAATAAATTCCCTTTAGAAATAATCAGTTTCAGTGTCAGAAAAATGTTCAAGTGAATCCTTATCAATTCCTGGTATATTTGCTTCCCTAAAGTTGAACATGCTGAGATGGAATGTGTAGAATTATAGAAAATTTAATTTGTATCAACAGTTTTCGGAGATTTTATATTTACTTTAATCTATTTTGATGGAGATATGTGTAAGTATATTATTTTTGGAATAAAAAATTATTTCGAAAGCAACAATGGCTGGGTTTGTGTGGTCTGCTTTCATTGTAATTCAAGTTATCCTTTTATGTATCAGCTCTTTGATTGTGTGCTTTGTTTTTTTAATCTGATGAGTTAAGCCTTTTTCAACTGATTTTCATAGTTAACTTTGTTCTCATTTTGTCCTGTTACACTACTGTCCCAGGGTAGGGAGGATCGGCATACGTTAACATGTTTAACCCCGTCACATGTGTCTGTCTCAATCAGGAACATTCAGTTCAGTTGATATTGTTTATTATTGTTTATCGTATTTGCTTTTCTTTTATTGGTTTGCCATTAGTTT